ATATATATTATATTTATATATATATATTTTTATGCGATATCATTGCTGATATTTCTATATATATATATATTTCTTATGCGATATCATTGCTGATATTTCTGTATGCATTATGTTGTTACTGATATTTCCTGAAAAATTATTTTGATAGAAAGATTTTTATAAATTACGACCGAAAGTGATACTGGCTGCTCGGTCAATGAATACCAAATGTTTCTTTATAAGGAAACGACTAATATTAGGCTACTAAGACCAATTTGTTAGTCATTCAAATCTTTTCTTTATAGATAGGCAGGCTTCCAAGAATAAGTGAAACCAGTTTCAGTCACATCAAATGTTGACTTGTTGATTACCGGTTAGTTTGGGATGATCTGTGATAAAAAGCAGTTGAAATAAAGATAAAAATTGGTTTTGTTTTATATAAGAAATTTTTGTGTCATATCCCTTCAGGATGTGGGCGATCATGGCTCACCACAACTTCCTGTCCTTTGTTGCGCTTAGTAAAGTTTGTCTTCTTTGCTATGTCTCTGTTGTGGCTTTGTTAGGGCCAGAAATAAAGACAAAAAGAGAGGAGTCGAGTTTAACAAATATATTAACAGAAACAGTAATACAAACATATACAAATGAGTGTTACAGCAAGAATGTTCAGTCTGACTGTCAGAGTTGATTGCTGGAAACTTCCCTCTCTCCAAAAAGGCAGTACCTGCTCCTATTTATAGCTTGGAGAGTCCATGCGTGCATGGGTAAATTACCATAACAATCTCCTAATCCCTGTTCTGCCAACTGCTTACACAAGCTCGTTGGGTAGTTTATGTACTGCTTTCTTCTATCTCTGTTGCTTTCAAGATGTTCTTTGAGTGTCAGATTTTCCAAGCCCTCTTTCCTCATTAAATTTCTGATAAGAAACTAAAACTTTGATCATTGGAATGGTGAAGATACTATTTGAGAAGATTTTTGTTAGCTATAAATCCCTTAAAGGTATACTGTATCTCTTCAGGACATGAACAATCATGGTTTCTCCAAAGCTTTCTCTCTTGCTCGGCCAGAAGAGCTTAGAATATGCTAACTGCATTTCTTTCATATGGGTAAATTCTCCACAAATAAAAAGAGGGCTACCTTTGGGTATATGCTTGCAGACTCAAGCACAGGCCCAACCAGTGTTTGTGAAACCCAAACCTGACCATTTGTACTTGGGATTAAATAAGCCAACAATAGCCAATATGTTAAACTCCCCAGCCAAATGAACTTTACTCTTTTGTTGCTTTCTATAATGCTTTGTCTTTTATTTCTCCACCTATTTGCTCAAACTTGTTAAGTTATTTATTTGACATTTTCCTTGGCTACTCTTGCTTTTGATGTACTCTGTGAAAGGAAATATTAATATTTGAAATATTAAATTTAATTTATTAACTTCAAATTAAAACTAAAAGAAAAGCCCTAAGAAAGATTTTTCATTTTTATAAATTAATTTTAAAACTTTGGTGTTGCAAATTGGTGAAGGTACCTAACAAATGCAATAGTTAAGGTCCATAAAAACATCTTTGCAAAAAGAAACTGACTTAAAGAAAATCAACATTTACAGTTTTTATATTCACCAAACCTTTTAATAGTTTGACCTTATTATAATGTTACCTTTGACCTATCTACTTGTATCAGAATTTGTATTACATTTTGGTCATGTAAAATCTAGTTTTTATTGTAGTGAGTTTGTTCCTCAAAAGGGATTACTCTTGTGAGGATCAAACACATTTTGTTTCTAGGTGACTTTTTAAATATGCAATAGACTTGAGTGGTGAAAAATTTTTTTTTTTTTTGTTATATATATTTATATTAAATACAGCCTCCCTCCCCACTGGAAAATTTCTGATATGAATTGAGTCATGTGTTTATATATATATATATATATATATATATATATATATATATATATATATATATATATATAGCATAAAATGTTCTTTTGTCATCTTTTTGTATTTCAAGGAATGCAATGATCACAACTTTGATGCCTTGTGATTTCCTATAGAGGCATTCATTCAGGATTTTTCTCACCCCCATCTCTTTCTCGTTTCCTGTGGGCTGTTCCAGGATGTTTACAAAGTCAGGAAGCAAACAGGCCAACGCTTTGAAAGAAAGCATAGTATAACATTAACTAGAGGAAAATATTTCAAATGTTTTTTTTTTTTTTATGGCACATATATATATATATATATATATATAATGAACTATTCTGTTTCGATCATGGGGGAAAGACAAGGTATATCAGATACTACTAGGTGTAAGAGAAAAAAAGCAAAAAAGTGTTTAATGTCTCCTTCTAACCTCATAAATAATAGACTGTTTCATATTGATTGGGCAAGAAGACAAGACATCAAAGACACTTCTTGGTTTCAGTCAGAAAACAAAAAGAATGGAAGATAGAAGAGTTTAACAGTTCTTTCAGTGAAGTGGAAAATGTTGTCAGTTCAAAATCTTTTCATTTGTACCCCCTTATTTCTTAAAAATAACACCTAAGTTTGATATTTATGATATTGCAATATTTTGGTAAGATTGTTAAGCTTAAATATTTAATGTTGTAATAAGGGAATTTCTATGAATATTTGATTGCCGTGAAACTTGCCATGACCTTATTCAATCATTAACTGAAGAATTAATATAGATCAGAAGTTTCAAATAGGAAAACAGTGCAATTTTTGAAAGGTAAAACTTGTATGTAATTTTATCTACCATTTCAAAGAATTGGTTCTGGTACAAGCCAAAATAATTCAATTTAACAAAGTCTGAAAATAGACCTTGATTTTTGGAAATCAGGATTTAAGATCATATTTTATTGTACTACTATAAAATAGGTCCTCCATCTCCGAGTTAAATATTAGCACAGACTGGGTTCTTCAGTCTTGGGAAGGGCAATTCAGAACTGGTTGAGCATTAGACTAGCAACTCCATTCTAATTGTTATGGAAACAACATCACCCATGCCTATTGTTTTGAGGGAGTGTCCCTATGCTTCTTCGTTGGAATGTACAGGGTTTGGGAAAAATAAAATCGCTAGTCTAGAACAAAATTCAGAAAATTAATTTTTTAGAAAAAAAAAAATTGAATATTTCAAAATTTAATGAATTCTGAAAGAGAATTTTTAATAGAAGACGTTTCTCCTGAGTGAATCCTCCGTGCCATATTCCTCTCTTCAAGACGTGGGTGATCATGGTTTTCTATAACTTTCTGTTCTTTTGTAGCTCTTGGTGAAGTTCATTTTATTACTATCTCTCTTAATCCCTGTTTTACTAAGTTTTTTATGTAGATTACGTGCTGCTTTTTTTCTGTTCCTGTTACCTGTGAGTGTCAAATTCTCCAAGCCCTCTTTCCTCATTGTGTCTCAGAAACTTCTTTTCCTGATTATAAGTGTCCTTGTTGTTTCTATTTTCCCTAAAACTTTGTTGTTGCTCACATGTTCTGTCCATAGTATTCTCAGCATCTTTCTGTAAAACATTTGTTGCCTCAAGACTCTGTGAGGACATTGTCCAGCATTCACCACCATATCGGAGGACTGGTATTACATAACAGTTCAGAACTCTTTTCTTTGTTGAGAAGCTACAGGTTGTTAACATTTTCAGAGTGTACCAAATTTATTGAAATTTCTCAACACCTGAAACAATATTCTTTTCTTAAAAAGTACTTAGTGAATATATAAAAAATAGATGTTTTGTTCAAGGATTTAGTTTCTGTCCTTTTGTATTTGTTATATCTGTAAAGTTGGGATAATATATATATATATATATATATATTTTTTTTTTTTCATAAATGTATCGCTTGTACATTCCAGAAGCTGTGTTGAAATCAGCTTGTCTTTATATCCCTACCCTCATGTATAAAGAATAAAAATTTAATCCCAGCAATTGTAGTCAAAATGAGATTAACTAACAAATGAGACATTTTTTTTTTTTTTTTAAGTTTCAGTATTTTTCAGCAAGCCATAACATGAGATATTTTGGATGAACATATGCAGACAAGGTTGGAAAATAGAATTAAACGGAGTAAATGGATAGCGGCTCGGATTGAGGAATCGGAGAGCTGAGTTCGATTCCAGTCAAATCCATTGCATTCACTTATGTGCTAATACCCTTGGGAAAGGTATGAATCCTCTTCTCCCCCCAGCTATGGGCAAATACCAGGACAGACCGGGTTCTATGGCCTTCGATAGCAACTGGTCTACTGCAGAAAGAAATGGCAACCTACTGTGGGGTGGGGGGTGGGGAATTTGCCTTGTCAGTCATGTATCGAAAGATACATGATCGCCTAAGTGTGTATCACACCTGCCACATAACTGACTGATACATCTCTCTCGTTTGTGTGTGTGTGTGTGTATATATATGTGTGTGTGTATATATATATATATATATATATATATATATATATATATATATATATATAATATGACACTATTTAGCTATGGTAATTGATTAACTAATTAGCCATAAAAATTAAGCAAAAAAAATACTGAGAATGGAAATGAAGATATCCCAAACAATGTATCGTTCGATATAAAGAGATTTTAATTTTACTTTAAAAAACAAGAAGAAACCAAGGATTTGTATCAACGATAAATTCACAGAAAGGCAATGTGGCAAGATTTGACAATTGATTAATAATGATTGTAAAAGTACTGCTTAAGAAAACATGAGAACCAGAAGTATCAAAGATATCATTCGAGATTGCAAAGATTTTAGGAGTTGACAAAGCCATGCATTAATTGTAAGAATTTTGGCATAAGCTATTCCAAAAGATATGCTGTTCAATATAAAAAGATTTTATTTTTACTTTTCTCAAGAAACCGAGGATTTGTGTAAATGGTAAATTTACAAAGAGGCCATGTAGCGAGCTTTGACAATTGATTAATGATGATTGTAAAAGTACTGGTTAAGAAAGCACAAAATAACCAGAAAGCATCAAAGATATCATTCGAGATCACAAAGATTTTAGGAGTTGTCCAAGAGACATGACCATATGTTATTTGTAAGACGAAAAAGGGAATTTCATAAACAATGTTGATCATTCTGAACTGAAAAATCCTGAATAAACAGGAATATCAAAGAGTTAATTAATGAAGCAAGCTTATCCACACCCATACAACTGAGACGCCATTGGTTGGGTGGTAGCAATGGTGATAGGCGGAGGTAAATTGGTAAGAAAAACGGGGAAATTACTAACGCTCACTGAAAGGATATGTATGAGGTACCAATGTGAGGAGGGAGGGAGTTTAGGAGACTAGCTATCCTGCAAACTCTCCTCATGGACAATGGATTCCCCACAAAAATGGGAAGTAATCAATTTTCCTAGCCAGACAACAAAGGGGTCCCTTGTCAGAAATTGGGAATTACCAAAAACCCCAGGCTGCGTCTAACCCTACACCGGTTTTTGGTCAATGCCCATATAAGTAAGTGTCCTCGGGCAGTTCACCAGTAGTTGAGTAGCAGAAGTTCGCGTGTAGGAGCGAGCTGACAGAGAGATTCCACGATTCCTGCCTTCGACCTCACCTACAAAACAGTAGGTGATGCTGACGAACGAAGCTAAGCCAGCACCTAAAAACTAAGCCAGTTGATTTAGAAGACCAGAACTTGCCTATAAGTATAATATTGTCATTCTCAGAAGAAACAGGTTGGGAAAAACACATACTCCTGTATAGAACTGACTGATAAAAGTTGATTTGCTTTCTTTCAATATACCCGAACCTTTGTAGTTTTCATTTATTTCTTTTTACACTTGTGCGACATCACCTCCAATTTAGACTCATCTTGCACTATGGCCCAATGCCTGATTGATCTCATCTACCTAAGATCAAATCACAACATGGGTAGGTTAGACTTGAGATTGAAGTAGTTACTTCGGTAACCAGTCATTGGAAGTGAGTTGAGAACGATAGAGCTGGTGTCGAAATGGTTGTATATGGTGTGAAGCCATTAGACTCGACCGATTATCCTATTTGGTACCCTGACTAAAGGATCCCACCAGGTAGTAACAATCGCCGATCGACCGGGTCACATGTTGGTGGCAGCAACTAAGAGTCGAGCCCAAAATGCTGGTAGGAGAAGTATCACAGCTTCGCATCGCAAATAGTTGACCCCAGGCTGACACTGTTGTCACACACACACACACACATATATATATATATATATATATATATATATATATATATATATAAAACAAATAGGAAACATTTATCAATCTAAGATGTTACTTTTATTAAAGCTTTGTCAGAGATTGAGAGAAAACAGACAAAAAGACAGAACTTTGGTATTTTCAATTTTGTTAGGGTCGATTCTCATTGGTCGGTTATCTATCACATGCATTAAAACTGTAGATAATTCTATATGTAAGTGAGTTTGTAAAAATTCTTGTATGACTAAGTGGGCATCAGATGGTAATGAGTATTCATAATTGTATGTGTGTCTGTCTAGCAGGAGGAGTTCTAATATCTTCACCTTTGTGCACTCAGCTGGCACAGTGGGATGGCACTCATTTTAATCTCGGACAGTTTTTTTTTTTTTTTTTATATATGTACTCTTTGTGCTAGATAAAGTTAGATTCTTTAAGAATGGATTCAAAGAAGGATGGTGATGTAATTTCCATCAGTATTTGATCTTTATTCCCAAGGAACACTGGCCAGCCACAACTAACACTTTCATGTATTTCATACAATGATCAGGTGGTCAGCAACAGTTAAGTTTGAAAATGGGCATTTTATACTCATCAGGCAAATCCAAGATGTTACTAGTGTAGATGATGTATGTATACCATGGATGCACCAACCAAAATCATGGGGATTTTGGGTGGGGGTAATCTGTAAATTTACAATTATTTTGAAAGAAAAATAACACCAGAAAAAGTTCAGAGGCATACTGAAAGAGTGCTCAATACCATGGTAAACAGTTGGACCCCAGCAAAGGAACTTATTGCTAAAAGCAAAATAGTGCTCAACAATACGGGGTCCACAAAGTCCTCCATCAGTGACTTTTTTTTTTTTTAATATCTTGGACATGCCCATTTTCATACATAACTGTTGCCTGCAAAAAGTTGGTTGATGAAGCTTGATGTAAATTGCTTCTAAAAACTATAAATGTTTAACTGACTGAGACTTGTACAGCATCCTGATCGCTATGTCAGAATATTTGGAAGTGCAACCCAGGTTGTTAATCAAATGAAGTTTAATCACTGACTCGTAAGCTGATTGAATCAAGCGATTACATTTGCTTGCTCCATCTTGTCTTATTGTTGTAAAGTACAAAAAGTTTTTCTTCCTCCGTATGAGAATGAATCCCTCGTCGCCAAAGTTGTTATAGAGTAGTTTCACAGTGGAGGCTTGTATTTCACTAAGTCGGTCCTAAAATAGGTTCGATGTACAAAACGTTAGGAACTTGATATAATAGTTAATGACGCAGCAATCTAGTTGTGGTGGCTGATACTTTAATGTCCAACATCAACTGACTGACCAACTCACTGAGCGACTGACTTAGCTACTGCTACTACTCCTACTTATTATAGGCGGGAGATCTATTAACTATAGAATAGGTGTGTTCCAGTACAACACTTATATAGATAGGCGCATGTCCAAACTGGGTTTCCAACTGCAAGTTGGTTCATCCCACATAGTCAGCCTCACAATCACATTTAAATTGATAAATCATGGAAGTACTTTGCAGGTAGGGCAAACCAGGCCCAGTGATAGATTTGTTGTTTTTAGTAATAAATTTATTTTAGTCATAGCTTCTTGTGTTCCTCCTGTGTTCACTTTAAGTTTTGCTATTTGTATTATTGTTGTTCCAATGAAGCTTTCTGAACAAGTGTTGGATGAAAAAAGGTTTACTTAAAAGAATTCACTCTGTAATTTTTAAAATACATAAATTCTGTGGTCTAAAATTTTTGTTATATACATTTCATTAAAGACAACAGACAAGGTACTATGATTAAGCTTTTATTCAATTTTTCTTGTGGTCATTTAAGTGTTTTCTTTGCTGGACACTGTGTAAAAACTGAATGTTCTATATATTTGAATGCTTTTGGCTATTCTTTTAGCCATTATGAAGGATTTTTTTTTTTTTTAATGAATATGTACATTTTTATGTGTATCTCTAGTCAAATTTTGCAAAAGTCTGACAATAAGATTTAAATATTTTTTGTTCTGCTCAGTAATCATTGAATTTTATATATGAAATTCATATATTCTACAATATTATTAATGGATTTTTTGATGGTTTTAACCACAAAATAAGGTGGAGGTCTTAATAATTTTAAAAGAATTAGTTAAAAATAATCAAAAAGAAAAAAAATATTGCTTGTTTTGACAGGAAAATGCATCAATAATAATTCATGGAAATATTTTTGTAAACTACTTTGGTTTTATATTTTGTGTATATAATTCAAGGAGTGTTTTAACCACAAATCTTTATAAATAGAACTCCCGAAGCTCATTTGGATATAAGGGAGGGGGAAAATAAAAAAAAAAAAAAAAAAAATGACCTCCACCACCAGAGGCAAGACTTCTCCCTAGCCACAAACATGGAAAGGACATTCTTGAAGTTTAGGCAAACTGTGTATGTGACATGCTTCACAAACTCTCTCTATTTGGCTTATCTAAACAGTGAGTCATAATCCTGGTTTTGCTTCCATTTCAAGAACTAAAAATCCCACAGGTCAGATTCCAGATGAATTCATTTATATATTTCTTAATCAAGTCTTTTTTTTTTTTTTTTTTTTTTTTTCCACTGAAGTAAATCTTTGATAATGACAGTCACTAATTTGGCATCATAAATTCCATGTAAATCTCTCTTAGGAAGGCCTAAGAGCCACTCAAGGTAGTGTGTTACTGAAGTAGGTTGTTGAATGAGCGGTAAGATTAGGAGGTAAAAAGTGCACTTTATAATGATATGTGGGGAAATATCGTGGTTAACTACAGACTTGAAAATGTTAAGTTTGTAGCGTTTGGGAAGCATTCTCCTGTGAGTCTGTTCCATAAAGTAGCCATTAAGACTCGAGATTGATACTTTATACATTATTGAGATGTTTTGAGGAATAAAGGGATTGTGAGTGGTCAAGAATTAAAGCAAGCATTACTGATAGAATAGGCCATGGATCGGCAACCTTTTGCTATATGCTGACTTAGGATTTTAAAATCATTCAGTGTGCCAACAGCATATGTATTTTTTATACAAGTCAAGATCAATATACCTGTTCTACAATATATTTTATATAGTAATAGATTGTGTGTGTGTGTGTGTATATATGTATATATATATATATATATACACACACACACTAGTATATATTAAAATTGAATGTATAGTATATATATTCTGAGTATATATTCAAATTGAAACAGCTAAATATATTCTTTGCGATGTGGTAGTTATTGGTTCAGACTTCGTGATGTCATTTGCTGCTGCATGCCATTGAAAATTGCTTGGTGTGGTATGTATACCGTAGGTTGCCGACCCCGGGTTTATACATTATTAAAGTGTTTTTGTGTGTCCATTACACAGGCAATTTACAAAATTGATGGCATATTTTGTTAAGTTCTTACTCATTGTGTGACTTTTTAATTTTTTTTTCACTTCCATACTTCTAAAACATTGTAACAATATGACATTGTCATAATAAAAGCGCAACAACTTACCATCGTCAGTGCAAGGGAGATAACTTTAGAAAGCAATAAGACATATAGAATGGGTAAAATTTAACTCTCACCACCCACAAGAAAAGGGTATGTTAAAAAATGTTTTTGTTTTTTTTTCTCTTGACATCCACTATTACAGTAAACTGTTGGCAATCGTTATTGTTTTAAAAACAATTTTTTATAATTGTGATAAAATGAGACTTGATTTATACAGTTTTTTTTTTCTTGAGAACTTACGACAAAAATATTAAACATTATTCTTTTAATCAGGCAATCTAATAAATAAATAGTTTTAACATTTTTGTTGTCAGTTCTCAAGAAAAGTATAAATCCTGATGCTCACCAACTATTTTAGTGAATTTATATGGCAAAAGCAAATGAAAGAAGGGATCTTCAAATGCATTTTCAAAATTAGTTACTCATATTGATATGTTTATTTGATTTCTCTTGATCACAAGTATTTTCTATAATGTATGAATGTAACAAGTTGATTTCATAGTTATTTCTTTATAGTATGGGAAATGATAGATATTTTTGTAGGTTACGTTTTTTTTTTAACTTGTAAATATAAAATCATTCTTGTAAATAAACAATCTAATAAAATAGTGTTTAATACTTTTGTTGTCAATTCTTGAGAAAAATAGGGAATGCATAAAAATTCAGTTTCATGTGTTAAGGTTTTATTAAAATTCTAAAAATAGCTTAAAAAATGAAAAAAAATTGCTGAGGGAGTATACGTTAATAGTCATGTCAAGAGGAAAAAAAAATGTCCCTTTTGACACACTGTTTTTTTTTTAATTTTCTGCAAAGGTTAAACTTTAACGAATAGTGTGTGTGTACATATAGAAATCAACATTGCATGGTGAATGTGAGTTTCATATCTCAAGCTATCTTCAGACCATGTTTGAAGATTCCTTGATTCTGGAAATTGTTGATACATTTCCCAAATATTAAGACCCCCGCCACTGATTATGACAAAGTTTAAACAATTATATATCCACACACAAAGTAGAAGCTGAAAGATTAATAGTTTGACTGGTGGGAGGGAAACTCTTTGGGCAGATTTTGGGAAGTGGGTTAAATTGAGAACTTTTCAGTAGTCTAATCATATATCTCTCTCTCCCCCTCCTTTTCACTCCTTCCCCCTCCTTTTCACTCCTGCCCTCTCTTCCTTCTCTCTCCTGCCCTCTCTTCCTTCTCTCTCCTGCCCTCTCTTCCTTCTCTCTCCTGCCCTCTCTTCCTTCTCTCTCCTACCCTCTCTTCCTTCTCTCTCCTACCCTCTCTTCCTTCTCCTTTTCTCTCCCTCTCTTCCTTCTCCTTTTCTCTCCCTCTCTTCCTTCTCTTTTCTCTCCTCTCTTCCTTCTCCTTTTCTCTCCCTCTCTGCCTTCTCCTTTTCTCTCCCTCTCTTCCTTCTCCTTTTCTCTCCCTCTCTTCCTTCTCCTTTTCTCTCCCTCTCTTCCTTCTCCTTTTCTCTCCCTCTCTTCCTTCTCCTTTTCTCCCCTCTCTTCCTTCTCCTTTTCTCTCCCTCTCTTCCTTCTCCTTTTCTCTCCCTCTCTTCCTTCTCCTTTTCTCTCCTCTCTTCCTTCTCCTTTTCTCTCCTCTCTTCCTTCTCCTTTTCTCTCCTCTCTTCCTTCTCCTTTTCTCTCCCTCTCTTCCTTCTCCTTTTCTCTCCCTCTCTTCCTTCTCCTTTTCTCTCCCTCTCTTCCTTCTCCTTTTCTCTCCCTCTCTTCCTTCTCCTTTTCTCTCCCTCTCTTCCTTCTCCTTTTCTCTCCCTCTCTTCCTTCTCCTTTTCTCTCCCTCTCTTCCTTCTCCTTTTCTCTCTCTTCCTCTATTTATCCCTCCCTCCCTCTCCTCTTTCGAAAACATGGTGGAGTAATAATGTCTAGGATTGAGGAATCTGAGAGCCAAGTTTGAATTTCAGTCTTGCTTGTTATATTCACTTACATGCAAATACCCTTGAGAAAGGTATGAATCCATTCTTGTCCCCCCCAGCTATGGGTAAATTCCAAATCACAATTAATATATAAACTGATCCCTCACTTTGTGGCCGCTATAGTTTCTATACATTTCTATTCCAGAGAATGTAAATCAGTCTAAAAGACATGCCTGTGTAGCTAATCAGTATTTCATTGATTTGTTTTCTTTGCAGGTTATTTAAAGAGAGAAATTATTTTTAGATTTTCAGAATTTTTTTTGGAGATAATAATGGTTTAGTGATACAAATCTTACTAATTAACCCATAGCTGGGAGGAGAAGTGGTGGATTCATATCTTTCCCAACGGTATTTGCATGTAAGTAAATATAATGAGCCTTATGAAAATTGGAACTCTGCTCTCCAATTAACAATTGTGAGCCATTATTTATTATACCACCTGCACATCTGGCCTTACAGTATCTGGTATTTCCAGGATATTACCCATCTAGGTACTGACCAGGCTTGATGTTGCTTAACTTAAGTGATCATACAGGGGGGGGTTGTTTCAATGTGATGTGACTGTAAGCTTCTACATATAGACAGGTGGTTTAAAAACAAGTTGCCTTTGTTCAAACTGTTAGCTTTATTTATTTATTTTTTTCCCTGTAAAAGAAAACTTGTGGACCGGTTGATTCAAGTTTTTGTTTGTGGGGGTGGAAATTGTTGGCTGAATGAATTGTCACCTAAATATACTAAGTACACAATCCTAGCAATGTCCCGGTTTCCTTTCTCCTCTTTGTAAGGTGAGATGTTGTTGGTAACTTGAGGCTACTGCCAAGATTCTTCCTCTATTGACACTCATTTTTTTTTACTTACTGTGGGGGTGATTGTGAAGAGTGGATGGGTAAGGCCAGGTTTTCTAACAGAAGTTTTTTTTTTTTTTTTTTTTTTTTCTCTTTCTTTCTTTCTTAAGTGTAGTAGATGAAATAGTAAAGTCAATACATGAGTTTCTCCCAAAAATATTAAACTGTCCTGAGCAGGCATCTGCAACAGGGATGGGCCAGCCACCGTAGTATAAAGTTTCTTTATTTATCAGTGATGCAGCCTGATCTCCTCTACCTAGTAATTAGATATTCCATTGTTATATAAACTTGGAGGTATTTTGTAGTGGAATCTAATTTGTAAATGTAAGATCATATTGATAATACATTACTTATTTCCTTTGTGTTAGTTTTCTTTCGATGTTTTTACTTTTAATGGCTTACAAAACAAAACTTTTTAAATGTGAATTAATTTCTGTCTGAATTTCTGTGATTAGGAATGATCATGATCACATGCAGAATATTAATAGAAGTAGATTGGTTTTCCCAATATCTGGCTTATACTCCTTCTTGGTCCTTTGAACAGGAGTAGAGGTTTATCCCTGGTTTCCAGTTCCTTGTAAATTCTACTTCAACTCTATACTTCTAATGTCCCCACCTAAACTCTGAAATTTTATTAACTAATATTTTTTTCCACCTCAAGAGTAGATAGGTTTGCCTATCATCAAATTCACATTCCTCCACCATCTTTTGAACATAATTAGATGTTAATCTCATTTCTTTTTAGGATTGAGTTTCTGGTTCCTTCTAAACTCTTCTCTTTCACTCCCATTAGCTGCTTGCATCTTAGTGACATTATTGTCTTGCTTGGGGTGAATTAATTAAAAAAAACAAAAAAAAAAACAAACACACAATACCTGAAGGACCCCCCCCCAAAAAAAAAACAACAACAACAACTTGTGTGCTCATTGATCCAAGTTTTGTAATTTTGGAAATTCTTGTTGGAATAAGTAGACGAGAAATCCCTAGATGTAGTCAGCAGAATAAGAAAGAATATCTGCTTGTGCAGATTAAATAAAGGGTTCTATTTGAAAATTCCTGAAGGTTACTAGGATCAACAAACATCTGATGAAGGCTGGAGGGCACAGTGGTTGAAATGTTGTGATAACAAAGATGAGGACAGTAGTCTGAGTATAAATAATGAAAATTAATTGTATAAGTATAGGAATATAAAAGGGATCTATGTTGAGATAACCGTTTAAACTTGCTTGTAATACACACTAACAAAACTGCCCATAACTTTGATTTTTACAAAAAAAAGAACATGATTCTTTGTTGAAAGTACTTTAAGCAAGTTCTGATAAGTAGTCTACCAACTATAAACACATGTCAAAAGCATTAAATTACACCACCGACCTTTTATTGAATACACTCTTAGAAGAATCTAACTTACGTTTATGTAAACACATTCCCAAGTTAACAAGATGGGACCACTAAACATAAATAATGTCTACTAGAGGTACACACACACTTACAAATATAAATTATCCTCTGAATCTCACATAGGCAAACTGAAATTATAATACAATTATATACATAGAGCAATATTTACAGTTTTTCAATTAGACATGGAATCAGTTAATTTCTTGGTGCTTTGAAAGGATGTGTCATCTCTCATTGAATTTCAAAACACCATAAATTATACTAACATTTTGTTACAGAATGTGAAAGCTAGGGCCAGAATGGTCAGGGATTGGACAGAATGCGAAAGCTAGGGCCAGAATGGTCAGGGATTGGACAGAATCAAAGCTAGGGCTAGAATGGTCAGGGATTGGACAGAATGGGCCAGAATGGTCAGTGATTGGACAGAAATGAAAGCTAGGGCCAGAATGGTCAGGGATTGGACAGAATGCGAAAGCTAGGGCCAGAATGGTCAGGGATTGGACAGAATGCGAAAGCTAGGGCCAGAATGGTCAGGGATTGGACAGAATGCGAAAGCTAGGGCCAGAATGGTCAGTGATTGGACAGAATGCTTCATGGGCAGAGCATTCTGACTGTGATGGATTGCCTTTGTCTGGGTTTTGAATATAATTCCAAAACATGAGAATTCAAGATGATCACAAGAATTCTGAAGAGTCTATGTCTCCCATACCCAGGTTTGTGACTGGCTAAATACCATCCACAGAAGGACACTGAGCAAGCATGTGACATGTGTTCCTGTGACATAAGTCCTTGTGCTGCTACTTTTAATAATTGTTTAATAAGTTAAATGCATGTAAAGCCTGCTTAACCAATGAAAATCAGACACCACAAAAATAAAAATACCAAAATTTTTAAATTTTTTTTCTCTCCATATTTTATCTGAAACTTTACTCAAAGTGAATTATGTTAGATTCATAAATTTTCTTGTTTGTTCTTTATTTCATCATAAGTAAAATTCTAGATTACCCATGCAGGATACTTAATAATGCAATTGCAAAAGGACATAAATAAATAGTTATTTTTGTTTAGGTAAACAAGTTTGAAAGTTTAATATGAAATTCCAGGCTAAATAACGTTAGAAACAAATCAACTGCTCTTATTGATGAGTGAAGAAACAAACAAATATTTATAATGAAATTTCTTTGGGTAACAAGAAATGGAAGAGATTGGACATCTTTCAAGTGAACATTGTATTATTTTTTCTTTTTTTTTTTCTTTTAATTTTCCTACCAGGAAGCAAGGCAGGAAAAAAATTAAGTAAAATAATATTAGAAATATCTTTATGTAGTTATGTCTTAGATGAGTCCGTATACCTTTTTGTAAAAAGAGAGAGCCTTGTATATCCTGTGAAACCATTTTTGGAGGTACTAGGTCATTTGACTGAACAGACGTTTAGCCACAAATGTACTGGCGTACTTAAATGTATATCGCACTCTTTATCGTAATGTGCTACATATATTTATATTTATCAATTTATAATTTTTGTTTTCTTTTAAATCTATTCAATTTCACTTTTAATGATCATTATCTTAAAGGGATGAACTAGCTTTTATCTTACTGTTAAGTATGAATTTAAATAATTAGGTGCTACTTTTTATCCAAATATACTCAAATAATTTTAAAAATTCTAATTTCAATAAACAAATATTTAAATAAGAAGACTTTTAACTTTAAATTTAGATTTAGTAATTTATTCACTTGAAATTCAGTGGTAATTTATTAGTCCTATTCTACCTTATAATACTGTTAATTAAAATACTTCAGGTATTACTTGTTACTATTTTTACTTGTACTTTTTCGGTGAAATTTCTGTTGGCCATGTCTGGCCATGCTTTTTGGAAATCATTGGTTTATTCAATGAAATTTATTTCAAACAAAGTATTGTATTGTTGTCAAAAGAAAGGAAAACTTTAATTACAGGGATTTTATTTTATTTTAAAATTTTTAAAGCTTATCTTTGAAGAACTTTTTATACCGGTACACTGGTTATTGCTGCTAAGTTGGTAAATAATGATTTGTTGTTAAGACACTTTTTCAAAGAAAATCCTTGATTATTTATTGAAATTATAAAAAATTTAATAGCTTCCTGTTTTGTACTTTGCCTTCATGATGACATCTTCAGGTGCAGCATTGTCATACAGCGAGATAAAGGTTGACTTGTTCACATTCAAAATTATCAGATAATTAATTTACTACTTGACACACATTTTTTACATTATTTGGACTATTGTCCTCATCTTTGTCGCCATATTTATTACAACGTTTTCGCTGTTGTATGCTCCGGCCTTCTTCAGGTGGCTGGAATGTCGAACTGAACTCTTTATTTTGTTCACTGGGGTAGACTGTTCTAGTTCCACGTTTAATGGATGTCACTTATCTCCTGTTAATTTCCCTCATCTCCTGTTAATTTCCCTCTGAAAGTTCACTACTTTAACCGGGTATTGGACTTGGATCTAACTAATGCCTTTATCCACTGTGCTATGTGTTCTTGAGGACATCTGTGTATGAATTTCTGGGTTTTATAAACCTAATGCCTTTATCCACTGTGCTGTGTGTTCTTGAGGACATCTGTGTATGAATTTCTGGGTTTTATAAACCTAATGCCTTTATCCACTGTGCTATGTGTTCTTGAGGACATCTGTGTATGAATTTCTGGTTTTATAAACCT